TAACTTTAATTGATTTGGCCTAGGATTACAGTATTCAATGAATACCTTCATTTTCTAGTACGTGAGGATGATATGTAGAAAGACGGTCTGTTTAATAGGGTTTAATCGAGTTGATATAACCTCTAATGCGTAAGCTAAAGTTGCCCTACTACGATATTTACGATATTCAAGCATACATGTACTAGCATAAAAGTATAAAATGTTTATACTCCTTCTACTAAAGCTCGTATAACATGCATCAACCATATACATCACTTTATGTTACGTCACATTACATGTACACTTCCACTTTGTTACATTCGTTTAACATTCTACTTGTGCAATAGTGGTTTATTTCTTTCGTAAAGCAAGTTATGCACTGGATTACATTTGATTATTTTTATCGAAATCAATCCACTTCAGAATCAAAATCTTCATTCAGAAAATATTATACGTCATTTTGCATTCTATCTGGAAGCTTTATCTTGCTTCATTGACGTAAGATATAGGTGATATTGAATAATTCTACCTTCAAGCTTTCATCATTTATCAAGAGAAAATAGACGCAACACTATTTAGAAGAAGAGAAAATAGAAGAAGGCACATTTTATCGATTAGCATTCCACCTAAAACCTTCCATCTTGCATCAAATACGAATTTACGTCACATTGCATCGAAGTAAATTTTGTCGTAAAGCAGTCTACTTCGAAGATTCTATCTCCCATCTAAAAGATTTATAGCGCACATTGGATAGAAGTTATATCTTATCGAAAAACATTTCACCTGGAATCTTTCATCTTGCACCATTAAAAATTATACGTCACTTCGCAACGATGCATATCTTATCGATAAAGATCCCACCTTTAGCTTCTATCTTGCAACTATGAAATTATGTGTCACATTAAATCCGAGTAAATTTTATCGATAAACATTCAATCTATATAATTATATCTTGCATACATAAAAATAATGCGTCACATTGCATCGACGTGTATCCTATCGACGAATATTCTACCTTAAAGCTTCCATCTTGCACACTATTCCCACTCATCTTTTGCCGTTTTCACCTACCACGCATGCGCTTTTCCCCTACTTTCCCCTATGTCAATTAATTTTGTTTTCCCATATTTCCCCTACTTTTCCCTACTTGTCATCAATTTTCCCTGCAATTTTTCTCACCCAAACAGTGCGGTATCAATTTTCCCTGCAATTTTTCTCACCCAAACAGTGCGGTAACTAGATAATTGTGGTTTGGGGGGAAGGAGTATTCAATGGTGATAGACAAATAGGCACACCTCCTTCAGAAAATCCTTAATTGCAAATGCCCTTCGAATGTGTAAGCAATTATTACACCTCAATTGAGTCCTTCAAGATAAAAAATACCATGTTTTACGCCGTTTTCAATGAAATATGTTTTTGAAATTTCCAAATATCGAAACAAGGCGTTTGTTGCTTTGTAAAGCCTTTTCCTTTTAGAACCGAAATTGCTTGGGTGGACCGCCGGCCCGCGGCACGCCAAGCCAGTGGACCGCAAGCCCTCCCCAACCAGAGCTGCAAATTAGCAAAGAACGAACAAACGCCATCCCAAACACACAAAATCCCCGTCACACAAAACCCCAACACACACGACCTGCCCCCTGCAGAGGCGTGCCCCCCGGAGAGGTGTTGCTCCCGCAGAGGCGTTGCTCCTGCACAAAAGAGGCTCTCGCCAAAAAGAGGCTATGGTGTGCTCCTCCGCAGAGACTGCGAGAACCACGCCCCCACAAAATTCTTCCTCAAAAAGATGTGCAAAAACACTCGCACTCCTGCAGAATTCAGCGAAAAAATCACTCGACCTCCTACGCGATTTTTACTCGAACTCCTGTCGCAGGCGCTAGAGGGCGGGGAGCAGAAGACGGAGAGGAGGAGGCTCCCCGCCCTCTAGCACCTCATTTTTTTACATTTTCATTTTATAATATTTATACAGGTTAAAGGTTCATACATATATATGTTTTTCAAGCTGACCTGTTTAAAAGATTATAATAAGCACTTATACTAGTAAAAAAAGAAATTTATTAACCTAACCTACATTACCAGCCAAAAGTGTTGGAACAGTCCAATCATCTTTCCTACTAAACCTCTCCACTCCCCCCATATACAATGTTGGATTGCGACTGGAAAATGACAACAAATGTACGTAAGCGCGCAAATTTTGTAACCCATGTTTAGCGACATGTTTATCCTTCTTCACAACATTGTACAAGGGGGGAGGGGGTTCCGTCTGCTTGAAATAGGGAAATGAACTGAAAAAAATACATTTATTACAGGTACAATCTCGGTGTTACAGGTACAATCTCGGTGTTCCAGCTTATGGATCTCTCGAAAGCCTTTGATTGTATTAAACATGACCTCCTTATAGCAAAACTAGATGCTTACGGATTCAGCCATGAAGCACTGTGTCTTGTTAACAGCTACTTGGAAAATAGGCATCAGAGAGTTAAGATTAATGGATCATTCAGTACCTACAAACAACTGTTCCTTGATGTTCCGCAAGGATCAGTTCTTGGTCCCCTCTTCTTTAACATCTACATAAACGACTTACTTCTCTCCTTAATGGATACGGATATCTGCAATTACGCGCATGATACAACTCTATATGCGTGCGATAAAAATCTCAATAATGTAATTGCAAGGCTAGAGAATAACTCAAGTATAACTATCCAATGGTTCGCTGATAACTTTATGAAGTTGAATACAAACAAATGTAATCTACTTATTCTTGGCAAAAGTTCTAATCAACAAGTTAAAGTTAATGTAGGAGATTCTATCATAGAAAACTCGGAAAAGGAAAAGCTACTAGGTGTTGTGATAGACAAAAAACTCAGTTTTGAGACACATATCAGTAAGTTATGTAAGAAGGCTGGTAGCAAACTCACCGCCCTCGCTCGCATATCTGGATACATGGACGCTAAAAAACTTAAAATCTTAATGAGAGCATTTGTAATTAGCCAATTCGAATATTGTCCACTAGTCTGGATGTTCCACAGTAGGCACTTGAATAGTAAGATTAATAGAATACACGAAAGAGCTCTGAGAATTGCATACAAAGACTATGATTCTAGCTTCAACACTCTGCTAGAAAATGATGGCTCGGTAAATATTCATGTAAAACACCTGCAAAATCTCATGATTGAAATGTTTAAAACAAAGGGAAATATCAACCCTCCTTTTATGAGGGAGATTTTCTGCGAGCGTCATGCTGTTTATAATTTGAGAAATAATAATGAATTTATGGTACCAAGAGTAAGAACAACCATTTATGGAACCGAAACTATCAAATATAGAGGGCAGCGTCTTTGGCTCTTTTTACCTCAGCACATAAGGAATGCTCAATCTATTAATGAGTTTAAGAAAGAAATTAAAAGCTGGAATGGCACAGACTGTACATGCAAACTATGTAGGACGTTCGTGCCACAGCTTGGTTTTTTGTAATTCTATCTTTTAAATAGCTCAGGTTTTTTTGGTTTTTTAATGGATCATTTTGTATTTAAAATTTTATGCATTTAATCTCGTATGTATTTAGTTGATGTAGTAGTTTTAACAGTTGGCTTGGATTAGCTCATTTCTTTGTAAATAGCTATGTAGCGCCAACTTTAAATAAATTTATTATTATCATTATTATTATTATTATTATTTGAAGGGCATTGTAATTTACAATATTATATAAAACTAAGGCTATAAAACCGCCGCACGCCTGTGCCAAGAGTGCGAGTAAAAGTCGCGTAGGAGCACGAGTGACTTTTTCGCTGAATTCTGTTTTTGCACAATTTTTTGAGAAAGAATTTTGTGATGGCAGAGGAAGTGGTTCTCGCAGTCTCTGCGGGGGAGCACGCCACAGCCTCTTTTTGGTGGGAGCCTCTTTTGTGCGGGAGCAGCACCTCTGCAGGGGGCAGGTCGTGTGTATTGGGGTTTTGTATGAGGGAGTTTTGTGTGTTTGGGGTGGCGTTAGTTCGTTTTTTGCGAATTTACAGCTCGGGTTGGGGGGCTTGCGGTTCACGGGCTCGGCGTGCCGCGGGCCGGCGGTCCGCTGGCTCGGGGTGTCGTCGGCCGGCGGTCCACCCAAGCAAGACCCCGCTTTGGCGGGATCGCCAAGAAAGGCTAGTTTTATTCCATTCCTTAATAAAAAATAACAATAACATTCAGTAAATACTTTTAGGAGGATTGTTGTCCATTTACATGAAGTGTGGTAACGTATGACATGTTCTTTGTGGTAAATTTTAGTAGAGTGGAGCATCAAGAAATATTTTAAATGCGCAAAATAAGTCAATTCTGGTATATATTGCCAGAGATATGACTACATATATACTGGCTCCTTCCCCATCAAACCTCTGTATTAGGGTCTTTGCTCATAGGCGTATGAACTGAGCCAAAATACAGTGATTTGTTAGCAAACTTCTTGTTTGTTGTTTGGTAAAAATTCAAAAACTCTTAATTGAAAAATTAGAAGTGAGAATTTTAAAAGATGCGCACATCACCTGGTTTGGAATAAAATATTAGTTCGGACTTTTTATTTAACGTGTAACGCAGTCATTATTTTGAATAAATCTAGTTCAGTGTGCACTGTATGGTCCATGGAGGAGTTCTTAGGTGCTGGCAAGGTGACCTTTTACAATAGGACAACATCAGTAATTTAGTGTAGTGGAACTAGATATAAGGACGGTCTAACCCGGATAAAAATAATATAAAGCTGTAATTTGGCACAGATGTTCTATACTAAGTTGGAAATGACCAGAAAAAACCCCATCAATTGACATTGGGAATTCCTTATTTGGGCAAATACCATAATGGCGCACTGATCAGTAGTGGTTCAAAATTTTAAAGTTGCCATAACCACAGTATGTACATCTTTTGAAAGATAATTTCATGCTGAATAATTCTTATTTAACGTAAGTACCCTTAAAATACGGAAATTTAGTGGTGATTGGGCAGAAACAAAGTGGGACGAGTGAATATTGAAAAGTTCGCGGAAAAAATGGCTGATCCTCTTGCTGAATATTTTCATTTTATATCGCAATTCCTATCGATGCAAAATCATTAAGTGTGTGAATAAGATAAAGTATGATAATACCCACTCAGCCCGGGCTGACTTAAACCGGGCCCACTCAGCCCGGGCTGATTTAAACCGGGCCCACTCAGCCCAGGATGACTCGACCCGGGCTGACTCAACCCAGGATGACTCAACCCGGGCTGACTCAACCCAGGATGACTCAACCCGGGCTGACTCAACCCAGGATGACTCAACCCGGGCTGACTCAACCCAGGATGACTCAACCCAGGATGACTCAACCCGGGCCCACTCAGCCCGGGATGACTCTAGTGAGATTTTTCACTGCAGCAGCAAATTCTGGTCAAATCTAAAGAAATATCTAAATATTCAAAACAAAGTAACTCGCGACAGAACGGTCCAAACAACATGATTTTTTTCATTATAAACTAATTTAAAGATAAAGATTTCAATTCTGACAGTTTTTAAACTTTTTTCATTGACATCCTCCATCTTAGTAATTCAAAATGGCTGCACAAAACTACAGCTTGATGCTACAATTTGTTGGCTTAAAATAATTTATTTGTAAATATACATAGATTAAATTTTAAATTTACAGTCTCATTTTCTTTTTTTCTTGTCTTCTTTTTCTGTTAATAATCCGAACGTGGATTTTATCACCGGGCCTGTGAAATGAAATAAAAAATTTGTTAGGAATTGGAGGCAAGGGAACAATACATCGCTTGGAGGGAAAGAAAGGAGCGTGTAGGCACACCATTATCATTTAGGTAAATTTCATTATGCTTGCAAGGAAAAGAAAAAAATAGATGTAACCTATTGGTACCTTATCTGTCGAGCAGGCGCCCTGCTGGCGTTACAAGGCGAAACCTCGTTGCTTGTGGTATTTGGAACTCTCACTCTCGGGCGATCTGCCCTTCATCTGAAACACATCATTATGATATGGAAGCTCCTGTGAATATCAGATGTACATAAGACGTATCTAAACAAAGGGGATGCGAAGTTTAAGTGTAGACAAAGTTACAACACGAAGACATCATTTAAATCAAAAATCGCTTGCCCTGTGATGAAGTTGGATCAGAATATCTTGTACAATACTTTGGTCAATCTGCCACGGCAATAACCTCCAAAATTCAAAGAATAACCGAAATGAAAGCTGTGACGCAGCAAGTTTACCAAAATCAAATGTCGACATCGAAGATCAAGGTTCCTAATCGATGCGTCACTAATGATCGTTAACGATCCGCACTCACAAAAAGTTTCCCCAATAACGACCTTGCAGACAATGGGGTCACATCACAAAGGGGGCGTAGCTTGATCGTCGTTCGCAACTCAGGCAAAACTGTCCTAAAAATTTTGAATTTCTTGAATCTCCGTGTTGCAATTCCGTGAGAATTTGTTCCATAAATTGACAAATAATAAAACATCTCGATCTTGAAACGTAGATAAACAAAAAGGCATGGAAATAACTCCCAAAACAAACACACTAACCTGATGAATATTCAATTGAGGAAAGGTATTCAAATCGTCTTCTCGAAACTGTCCTGCGAAAACAGCAAGAAAAAAGACGGTAAATTGTTATAGCTAATAAAAGAGCAACGGACACAAAGCATTCAATGAAGGGGCAACCATTAAAAATTTCACGGTAGGGGCAGAGTGTTTTGATAGAAAAATGGCAGTCAAATAAGGGCAACGTACAGAAACATAAACGAAAGGAATAAACAATACTCACAGTCAAAATTGCGTCCAAAATCAAGGGTCCATTGTGAGAAACAGGTGCACTTCTAAACCTTCGTTTCCAGCCGTGTGCTCTAAAATCGCGTCAATTTATCACCCTTTTATCCTGTTGATACTGTTCAGACACAAATTGTACAGTCATTTATCAATCGATCCTCCATAAAAGGGAATTTTTCACTTACTGGGAAAAAAACTGTCCCAGCAACAATGCAAATCGCTACGTCATTGCAGCGCATCATGAAAAGACCATAATAACCATGCGTGCCTAGTTTAAACAACAATGAGATAATCATGACAATCATAACTTTTACTGTACGGTCTCGAGTTTTTAGGAGAAAGATGCCTAATTCCACTGGTTTTGATTCCCAGAAACTCGAATCGAATCTTCCACCGAGAAGGGAGAACCGACCTGTGACGCAGCAAAGTTTTCTTGGAAAGGAAATCGAAGCTGTGAGAAACTTGAGGATTCTGCACATAATTGCTTCTCCGCACAAAGAGGTGGCGGTTAACGACTTACGAACGACCTCTTCTTCCAGTCCTTTCACTCGAGAGGGCAATTAGGTCCGCAAGCTAGAAAACTTCCGCCAAAAAAAAGTTTTTTTCGAGGACTTTTCAGCAGAAAAAGGCAGAAGTTTTCGAACGAATGGAGAAAAACCCATTCGTTTCGGGAGACGGTCTCTCGGGCAGCGGGGACCGGAAACAGGGTCGTCGCGTCATCCGAGCAAAAAGGGGAAACAACAGGTTGCGGACCTCTGACCGTGTTCAAGCTGGCATGGAGCTAATTTGCATAGTAGCATCTTAGACCCCGTTTACACGAGAGCGGATCCGAACCGGATCGGATCCAAAAGAGTACGGATAAGCCTTGCGTTTACACAGGAACTGGTGGATCCGTATACTTTTGGATCCGCAATCCGAACACTTTTGAGATCGCTTATGCGTTCAGAGGTGATCCCGTGTGGATCCGATCTGGACCGAATCCCTTGTAAACGGGTGGATCTAGTCCAGATCGGGTCCGTCTACGTTATTTGTCGAAAGTGAAACAGAATATTTTTCAATTCAAGGTAGTTTGAATATGTAATCTGTGGCTTTTTGGCGCCAGAAAACCGAACATCATGTTGATAGACTACTGTGTTGAAGAATTACTATGAAACTTTGACGATATGTCGTCGTACTTTGTCCTTATATTTTCCCAATCCTGTCCATCTGCAAGCTTTGCAGTTTTGTAGTCCAATACTACTTTTAAAAGTAGCGCGGTTTTTTCTTCAGTCCACGAAAATTTACCCTTTTTAGCGTTACCTCCCTCCATGTTCAGGTTGAACTGTATTTTGATCACGAACGAACTTCTGAAAACATCACATTCGCGCCGATTTTGAAAAAGCACATGCGCTTAATCAGTTGAATTCCCGTGTAAATGTAAACGCAAATGGTTCTGGATCGGGTGGTCCTGTGTACAAGCGCGCCAAAAATTGATATCAACTCGAGTCTATCAGTTGAATCAATACGAGGCTATCCCGCTTCCCGCCTAGGCGAGCCACCTTGGTCAGGCGGGCTGGCCCGCCTCATATAAACAGGCCCTTATTGACAAATTTACCACCTAAAAGTTCTATCTTGTTTAGACAGAAATTATAAGTCACATTGCATCGAGGTATTTTTTATAAATAAACATTTTGCTTTAAACTTTCTACCCGCCTTACCTCTTGTGACTGATGCGAACTCGTGACCAATTAAAAGAATTGAAATTATGGGATGAAGTTCAATGGGTGTGGGATTTGTTTCCAGCCAACGTAAACAGCCATTTTTACTCCTGATTGGCAACAAGCCTTCAAGAGCTCATCGAAGATAACAGGGTATATCTTTATGGTAAAATGGTAATTGTTTTACTAAATTTTGCGGAGAGTTGATTGCATTTCTTGATTGAACTTGGAAATGGAAAAGCAACCATAAATAGTTTTTACCATCTATCTACAGTTTTAGGAAAGACCACAGCGTAGCCCTTAATGGTTTGATTGAGTTTCGGGCTCGTAATGACATCAGATAGTAAACAGAATACTATAAATTTGGAACAAACAACATTTGCTTGGATACATGAGTTCCAGACAGTTTAGAAAGAATTCGCATTTGTAATAAATATGAATTGGCTTTTTCCTGCTCAAATTTAAATTATTTGCCCTACGATTACAATACCCACATAGGTACAGTATTCAATGAATACCTTCCTTATTCCATTAGGTGATGATGATATGTGGGTAGAAATACAGTTGTAGCAAATATGTTGAAGCAAAAAGCATAAACATTATCAAGAAGATTGAATTCTTGAAATGCAAACATAGAAGATTAATGGGGTTTTATCGAGCTGTAGTCAATCAAAACCCCTAAATTGATGAGCTAAAGTTACAGGGGCGGATCCAGAGCAAATTTGAAGGAGGGGCAGTTGGTAATGGGGGCGCTGAAAAACTTTGAGAAATTGGCGACAGCTGTACGATGAACTGTACGATGTACACAACACTTTCAGACCCTAACTACTAACAGAAGGCTCTCCATTCACCTTGTAAGGGGATTTTTACAATATTTGTTTCATTTTTTGAGGTAATTCTTGAAGTAAATTAATCTTTAAGTCTCAAAAACCTCATTTTGGTTCTTCAAATGGGGCGAACAGTTTCCGAAAAAGGGGCGCCAGATTTGCTTCAACTCGGTGAAGGAGGGCAACTAACCCCCTAAATCCGCCCTAAATAGTTTTTTGTAAAATCTCAACCGTACAAAGTAAACCTGCGATTTCTGATTTTGTATTTGAAAACAAAAATCTTGATTTATTTTTGTACGAATGCAATACTCTCTGAAACTATGTAAGAAACTGAAACCAAAATTTCACAGTTTATTCTTAAAGGTAAAGGTAAGTTAAAAAATAGTCAGCAATTGTGAAGAAATATTTGGTTCATGTCTTATTCACAATTGAAATGTCAGTTTTCATTTTGCAGGTCAATATATTTCCTTATAAAATTTTTAAGTTCAAACATTACGCCCCTAAATCCGCCACTGTAAAGTTACCCAAATGCGAAAATTACTCTTTTCATTTCGTCAAGCTAACATTACATTACATTTTCATATACTAAAATAAAAGTAAACGAATTTCATACCCCTTCTACTGAATAAGATGAAACTTGCATCAAAAAAAGATTAAACGTCAAATTACATTTAAAAAAAATGTTATCGATCAACAAAAATAATACATCGGCATGCATAAAAAAAATTCTATCGACAAGCATTCTGTCTAGAAGTTTCAATAATTTACCAAAAAAGTTAGAGGTTACAATGCATTGCAGCAGTTTTACTAACAAACAGTCCTCTTAAAAGATTCTCTCTGGCATCAAAAAAATTCTATACGTCACAGTGCATAGAGGTAGATATAGTCGGTTTACAATCAGCCTAATAGCTAGCTTTGTGCGTCAATGTATATACCACGTTGATATGAGGTATGTTTCATTAGTTTATATTTCAAAGGAAGATTTCCATTTTGCATCAATAAAAATTATACGTCAAATTGTATGATAGTAAATATAATTGGTAGACATTCCATTTAAAGACTAGGATGTGCATCAATGGAAAGTATAGGTCACATTGCATAAAGGTATGTTTCATTAATTTAAATTCATTGTAAAATATCCATTTTGCATCAATAGAGATTATAAGTCACATTGCATGGTAGTAAATATAGTTGGTAGACATTCCACTTAAAGACTAGGATGTGCATCAAATGAAATTATACGTCACATTTCAATAAGGTATGTTTTATTAATTTATCTTTCAATGTAAAATATCCATTTTGCATCAATAAAAATTATACGTCATATCGCATGGTAGTAAATATAGTTGGTAGACACTCCACTTAAAGACTAGCATGTGCATCAATGGAAATTATACGTCACATTTCAATGAGGTATGTTTCATTAATTTATCTTTCAATGTAAAATATCAATTTTGCATCAATACAAATTATACGTCACATTACATGGTAGTAAATATAGTTGGTAGACATTTCACTTAAAGACTAGGATGTGCATCAATGAAAATTATACGTAATATTTCGAAGAGGTATGTTTCATTAATTTATCTTTCTATGTAAAATATCCATTTTGCATCAATAAAAGTTATACGTCATATTGCATGGTAGTAAATATAGTTGGTAGACATTCCACTTAAAGACTAGGATGTGCATCAATGGAAATTATACGTCATATTTCAATGAGGTATGTTTCATTCATTTATCTTTCAATGTAAAATATCAATTTTGCATCAATAAAAGTTATACGTCACATTGCATGGTAGTAAATATAGTTGATAGACATTTCACTTAAAGACTAGGATGTGCACCAATGGAAATTATACGTAATATCTCGATGAGGTATGTTTCATTAATTTATCTATCTATGTAAAATATCCATTTTGCAACAATAAAAGTTATACGTCATATTGCATGGCAGTAAATATAGTTGGTAGACATTTCACTTGAAGACTAGCATGTGCATCAATGGAAATTATACGTCATATTTCAATGAGGTATGTTTCATTAATTTATCTTTCAATGTAAAATATCAATTTTGGATCAATAAAATTAATACGTCATATTGCATGGTAGTAAATATAATTGGTAGACATTTCACTTAAAGACTAGGATGTGCATCAATGGAAATAAGACCTGACATTTCGATGAGGTATGTTTCATTAATTTATCTTTCAATGTAAAATATCAATTTTGGATCAATAAAAATTATACGTCATATTGCATGGTAGTAAATATTGTTGGTAGACATTCCACTTAAAGACTAGGATGTGCATCAATGGAAATTATAAGACACGGTGCATTGAGGTAAGTTTCATTAATTTATATTCATTGTAAAATATCCATTTTGCATCAATAAAAATTATACGTCACATTGCATGGTAGTAAATATAGTTGGTAGACATTTCACTTAAAGACTAGGATGTGCATCAATGGAAATTATACGACACGGTGCATTGAGGTATGTTTCATTAATTTATATTCATTGCAAATTATCCATTTTGCATCAATAAAAATTATACGTCATATTGCATGGTAGTAAATATAGTTGGTAGACATTTCACTTAAAGACTAGGATGTGCATCAATGGAAATCTTACCTGACATTTCGATGAGGTATGTTTCATTAATTTATCTTTC